TGTCTAGGGAACATGTGACCGGCATTTCTGGAAAAACACACTGTTTGTGTTTCTTCATGTTGACAATATGCATTGCTCCCGAAGTATACTGAATTTTTTTTTCCAGGAAAATATAGCACGAAAAAAGTGCTAGAAAATTTTATGTTTCACTTTGTTTTTAATCTGAATTGACCTGACTTGACTTGGTCGAAAAAGGTTTAAATTGTGACTTGACTTGACTTGGGAGGAATAAATTTTGGAGTGTGACTTGGAAAACCTCTGACTTGTCCAGTTCTGATACTCAACATGCGTACACACTCAAAGAGATACACTTTGAACAAAGTGACTTTTGTTCGTAACTGCTGCCACGAAAGCAATCTAAATGAGATGACTATTCTGGAACTTTTTCAAAATTTGTTGTCGTTCATTCAAAATATTTTTTGGTAATCTTTTATTATAACGTTCTTGCTTTTTATTCAACTGTTGACGTGATGCAGCCTCAGCTTGTATCAGCTCATCATCAGCGTAAATCTGCTCTTTCTTTAAACTTTTCGAAAACGACCAATAGTTTGGGTGTGAACAGTCAATCAATGATGATAAACGGTTATGCCAATCTTCAATGATATTGTTCGTTCGATGGTACCCTTGTAACGTATTGTGATGTGTATTCCATAGATCTAAGCTGAATTGTGGTAGTTTACGTGGTCTCGACAAATGATTTCTCACACCTATATAAGTTTGTTCAAAATATTGAATCACAGGACCAGCCTGTATTGGGAATTGTTGTTTGATTTCTTGTAATGTAGCAATAACATCTTGTACCGGTAAAGACGATAAGGCTGGTAATAATCGAACTTGGTGTGCAAACTCAGCATCTGTTTTCAACCCATATTGTTTTATCTCCAGAGTTTTATTTATTATATAAGAGTATCCATTATGTACAAAAATGGGTTTACCTTTATTTGTTTCCATTTTAAATATCAAGTATTTATTTTTGAATCAAAATTTTAAATATGGCTAAATAGCTGATGTGACATGATGTTGAAAAACAAATGTAA